GGTATAACAATGAATTTCTTTTTCATAAGCATTTAACTTTGATCTGCAAGTCCCAGTATTTCATAATTTTTTTCAATTGTTTTTCCTCAATCTTAGTGTCACCCAGAATAGCAACATCACTGAACCAGACTTCTTCTTTTCAATAGCTGGCATGTTCTATCAATATCAGGCATGTTTTAAATAAGATGTCTCTCTGTCTGAATCTTAAAGTCCTGTAAGACCTTAACCTGCTCATTTTCCAAAACTTCTCGGTAGTTTTATTCTAATGAATAATTCTGGCAACTTGGTCATGAAACTCCTTGTAATCAGTCTGTGAAATTTTGCTCTAGCAAAAAAGGGTGAATTGTGTCATTCTTTTTGTTACAAACAGGGCTTTTTTTTGTCATAGAATGCCCAGAACGGAGTTCCGGCACCTTTTTTGGATGGAACATTGTAGGGTAGGCAAGGTGGGTTGTATGATGTGTGTGAGTTCTGGCAACTTTTTTTTTTTTTTTTTACAAAAAAAGCACTGGTTACAAAAGTAACATTTGCTGTTGTTTGTTACATGTTGAATTTTGCACCTTCATGCAATTAGTTTGCAAAGCTTATTCCTCAGCCGCTAAAATCAAGCCTTTTGTTTCTTTATTTAAATCTCCCGATTTTAAACCAACTCCGTACGGGTTTTTTAAATCAGTTTTTTCTTCTATATCCTTCAAGTATTGACACTATCCTTCGTTCACAAAAAATGTGAAGTCACAGTTGCCAGTTCCTTAGCTGGTGTTGACCTTCAGATGCATTGAGTTCTTCCCAGGAATCTAGAATGTTGTAATATATCAGTGTAGTGCATGTGCAGAACCAAATTGTGTGACCTTTTGTAATTGACAGAAATAAATTTTGTCAATGTGCAGATTTTCTAAGTGTCATCCAAGGCTTATTAGTATGGCACACAGTGTGCCAATAACCCTTGGGATCACCACTGCCGGTTTAAGCCATAATCATTCTATTCTTTATTTTTCATTCTATTATTCCCTGGTATTGTCACATCAATTATCAATTATTTTCTTCTTTTCAACCAGCTAAATCTGGTGTGTTATGTGCCAAGATTTTGATTAGTTTGTATTCAGAAATCCCACAATATTTTAATTTGCTCATTTTCAATTATTTTTTCAACTATATCTTTCCACCAATTTTTCATTACTGGATTATGATATTTTTCCAGATATTCCAGTGAATCATTCTGGCAATTGTGCTATATTATTGTTTAAAATCAGTTTGTGTGATCTTTTGGCATGTGATAAGTATATAATCTACTGTTTCTTCAGCTTCCTTGTACAATCTGCACTTTGAATCAGTTGATGATTTTTTAAATTCTGGCCTTGATTGCATTAGTTTGAATAGCTAACTAGTTCTTGAGCAGCCAAAATCAAGCCCTCTGTTTCTTTTTTTTAATGTTTCATTTGTAACAATTGCCATGTTTTATCTACTTTCCCTTGATCTTTTGTAGGAAATGATGTAATGCTTTTCCTTGTCGGCATTCTGTTCACATTCTAATTATATTATTTCAATATTCATATTGTGTTTCCTGCATGTTGCATTTTAAGTTACATTTTTAGTTTGCATCAGTGCTTGTTCCTGGCTCTTTCATATTATCAGCCAATGCATGTTTTCTTTGATAGCTTGCTCAACTTGAAATAAACTTTGCCTCCATTTCTCCAGGGCAGGTGTAATCTATCAATATCTCCAAGGGAGTGCAATACATAGTGAATTTTATTATCCTATCCTTTTTATATACAACTCAAAGTGCTGAGTATACCTAATATCCTGCTTTCTACTTTCCCCACAGCAACTTTGTTAGGTGGGTTGGGCTAAGAGTTATTGACCCAAAATCAACAGCTAGTTTTCATGGCTAAGGGAGGCCTAGAACTCAGTATCCTGGGTTCTTGACCAGCATCTTTACCGCTATACCAAATTGCTCTGTACAGAGAACCTCCATGGATACCTCCATGAAGCTCTCCCACTGCAGACATTCACCTACCTATCAAATGTGGAAAAAAATCAAAGAGGTCAGTTCTATCATGCTCATCCCCCTCCTCCTTGAAATAATGGAGCAGAAGTCCATTTCAACCTCATTTTTCCTTTATTACTATATTTTGAACTAACATATGATAACTGAACCCTACGTAGAAGGGGTGTAGGTTACTAAAGCAAGGTATATAGATTTCCATCACTTCTTTAAATATTCTTTATATTTTATTATCATAGCAGAAAACCATGAAAGAAAAAGCAAGATTATAATCCTCCTAATTATTTCACTTCTGATCTCTTACTATAACTATCCCCTTGCTTTCACCCATAACACACAATAAATGTGCATTGTTTTCTTTTGAATTAATCTATCATCTTCCTTAACTCCCCTTGTCCACATCTTCCTTGACTCCCCTAGCAAAATTTCAGTTTCACTATTATTCTGGCCCAAAGCAAAAGGATATGTGAGGAGAATTTATTTTGCAAATCCAAAATGTATAAGCCAAATCCATATGATATCATTAAAAATTATTAGAGAAGAATTTGTAGAAACATAACGGGACCTAGAGAAGCAGAGTAAAGACGTCAAAGAAAACACATCAGGGAATTTACTTAATACCTATTTTCTTTAGTGGCAGGAAACCACAATTACAGAAATATGCCATACCAAAACAATGGGATCAGTTTTTTAAAGTACTATACTACCACAACACCGGGAGGAAAGATCAAAAATTACTTCCATCAAGGAGTCTCTCTGTGAACCAAGCATTCATGAAGAGCTTTAAAATATATATATATAAAAGCAGAGACATTCTCATAACCTAGAAACATACTTTCTATCCAGATAGAAGGCTGAAACGGCTTAATCTTACAGCAAGTATCTGATTAAAAACTACTATAAAAAGTCACTGTCTCTCTCTTATAGTTAAGAGCATACTCAGAAGTGTTATATTGCTGGTTCAATCCACTTTGCACTGCACTGAAATATTGTTCCAAGTTCCTTAAACAGTCATGATCAATACAACTAAAAGAGGGGCAGAGAACTCATATTTTCTTCTCTTGTTTCAACTAAGCTTCTAGATCACTTGAAAACGAACCTCTTCACTGAACTCTCTATTGCAGCACTTATGCATTTTTGCCCAAGCTACTCTATCTATCTAGTACAGAATACTCTCTGTGGAATTAGTGGCAAGGTTAAGGCCACACTGTTGATGATAATAGGAATAAAGAATGGTGCCAATACAAATAGCATACCAAATATCTCAAATAAATCTCCCTTCCCAAATCTAAAGTAAAAATGGGAGTTGCCTGCTTTGTCTGTTTCTCTTGAATAGTCAATGAAATTGGTTGCTGTCTAATTTAGACCATACTCTGCACAAACATCCTGAGTATTTATATGGCTTTTAAAAAAATAAATAAATAGTGGTCTTGTCCCTAAGTGCTACAGGTCATCCTCACTTAGTGATTGTCTCAGACAGTAATCATTCACAGTTACAATGATGATGAAAAAGTAACTTTGCAATCGATGCCCACATTTACGACTCTCACAGCATGTCGTTCGGTCATATATTCACCATTACAGTTAGTGAATATATGTGCTGTCCTGTGTAAAACTGTAAGCACCATCACAATCATGTGATTTTTTTCACTTGGCAACCACTTCATTTAACTAGCATGTTGCTGGTCACAACTGCAGTTACAAAACAAGTATATTTGCTTACTGTTATGTGTGATTTTGCTTTAACAATTAAGAGAAGAATAAGCAGTGTTTAATAACAGATCAGAAGCAGTAATTATAGGACCTGTATTTCCTCTTCTAAAAATGCTGTTTATATTATGCCAACATAAATGAGCCAAAGGACCATCAGCCTTTCAAGGAAAAAAAAACAGGGAAAAAAAGCAAAAAACATGAACACTAACATTACCTTTATTGCTGGATCACAGTAACAAAACCTTGCAAGTCTGAGAGCATTTCTCCCCTCCCTTGACTTTACTTTCTGGGAGAGTACCTTTTGAGATCCTTTCTCCACCCCTATCCTTCTATGGTCTGTCTCTTGACTGATCACTGCCTGGCTGCGGCTCTTCCACTTGTCTCCTAAGATTACTCTTACAGACTAGATCTAAAGCCATTTCTTGGGTTCTTAACCTTTTTCCAAAAAAGATCAGCACTAAACTTCTAAATTTGTAATGGGCTTTTAACTAACAAGTTAACAAACACCAAGAGAGGAATATTCCAAATGTCATTGTTGTAAGACAGACCTGTCAAACACAAGGCCCGGGGGCCGAATGTGGCCCACAAAGTGGTTTCATGTGGCCCATGAAGCCATCCTGGAAAGAGTGAGGGAATGGCCCCCACTGCCTTGGCCCTGGCCCAGGTTGGGAGGGAGCCAATGTACAATTTTGTGGTGGCCATCTATGCTGAAACGCATTCAGTCTTAGCTCCACAAGGCCGTCTGGAAACAGCGAGGAACCAGTCCCTGCCGTGTCGGCCCTACCCCCTGGGTGCATGGTGGGGAGGTGTCACCCTTTGTGAGGAATGAAAAAATGCACCATCGCCTGGAGGTGGTCAGCAAATGGCCCTCGCCTACTTCACATATCCGGCTTGATAGGCTCCAGGGGAGGGGTTTCAGCAGGCAGTGAGGCTCCTTCAGTGGACCATGCCTTGCCACTTGCCCCAGTCCCACCCCCTTCTGCCAGAGACCCTCAGATCTGTCCCATTCCTGCCCAGGCCTCCACAGGCACCCTTGATGTGAACGATGTAGAGCTGGCCATGCCCACCCAATAGGCCACACCCACTCCATCCACAGCCACCCAGTAGGCCACACCCACCCAGCCCCTCCCAAGGGCAACCGCAATGCTGATGCGGCCTTCAATGAAATTGAGTTTGACACCCGTTATAAGACAAATATGCATTATTATAAAACAAGTATTATAAGATAAATTGCAGACAAGTAGTCAATAGAAATTGACTACTGCTTGTGATTCTCCTTTCTTACCTGCTGAGCTAAGCAGTACACTAAAGTCTGTCCCACGCTGAGATTCACCACTGCCATTTTGTGTTTCTTTCTCACGTTCTTCATAACGGTGCCAGTTGGAAATTAGCTTTCTTCTTGAATAACTTCCCCTATCTTCTTTGCCCATTTCTGGTAAGTCAAGTTCAGCAGTAGCCTTCAAGATATATCAGCAAAAATGATTAAATAACTGTGATTAGCTTTTGTTTTTATTCCAGTTTCCAAGAAAAATTAAATAGTAGTCTTGTCAATTTTCCAACAATATTTTATGTAGTAAACATATCTTGATTATCAACTCTGCTGCATCAAACTTGGCACTTGGACGAATATTTTGGCTAGGATGCAACGCACGATGGCAAAAACATTTAGTTTCTGTTTCTATTTTGTTCTGTTTTTATTTTTATTTTTCAGAATTGGATGGTTATTATTGTTAATACTTTAATTTAAAATTAATAATTTTAATATTTTAGCATATTAATATTTCTATTATAGAAAGAGTATTCTGAAGATAGAATTTATCTTACCTTCCTAAAATTTAATATTTACATTATCAGATTTCTATTCCACTACAAAGGATTACAATCAGAACAAACAAGAATAATATTGCAGTTTTTCCTGAAACTCCTTTCTGGTTCTTCCACCTACTGGAAAATAATATGCAACCATCACCACACTGTGGATTCCTACTTTGCTACATACATATTAACAACCTAAATAGCCCAAATGTATTTTCTGACATATTGTATATCTATGCTCCTTTATCCATAATTAAAACCAACATCTTTATCACTCCACAAAGTGAGAAGTTCATTCAGATGTATTATATCCTTACCTTTTCTCCTAATATAACAAATACAGAAACACTTATTTTTCTGTTTCTTTCACATAATTCATTAGTTCAAGTTCATTATCATGTACTCCTCTTCCATATGCCATGGTTGTAATCAGCTATTATCCTATGTCACCTATAATGACTTGGTTTATCAAGGCTTTCATGTAACTTTTTTTTTTTTAGAACAGCACAGACTGGGTTCATGAAGCATTTCCTGCTATTATTAGACTGTTTTGCCTAGTATGATACAACCACAACCAAGACCTATTTAATGCCAAACACAGTCAAGCTATTCTATGCAAGCTGGGATAACTAAAAATTATCTTGAAGCCAACATACTATTGCCTATACCGTATATTGCCAAGTATGAGAGACATGCATTATACTGATATACATTCAGCATGCTAGAGGTCTTCCTGATGGGATATATATACACTACAGAGTTTTTAAATGCATGAAAAGGTTTTCCAACTCTATTAGTAGTCCAAGTAACTACAGAAAGTGTACCAGCTTTATCCTGTATTAAGTCATTTAATTACAAATATTTATTCATACTTTACTGAACAGAATCCTTTATTTGACATAGTGTAAAATTATTTTAAAACTAATGAGGAAAAGAAGACAGAATTAAACACTGGCAGAACTGAGCTTTTTAGATGAGCGGACATAAAATTGAAATATGCTACATATGCAACTATCACAGACTTTTGAAATTTGCCACCTAGATGGGTACAATAGTCATGTGCTCCAAGTGAGTAGGAGGAAAACAAATTACAAGGCTGGCTGAGGAGAGACAAGTTGTATGCAAGGATGCCTGGGGAATACTTGCTCTAGATTAAAAACCATTTATTTACAAATACATGCACAGGAAGAGAGATGGGAGAATAAGGTCAAAAAAATTGCCAATTACTGGAGAAAGGATACATCTTTTTTATACAAATGTTGCCACAGCCACAATTCAGATATTCGCTCTTATGTCTCTTTATGTTCTCTGAACAGTCAGTCCTCTACATAGTTGCTGAAGGAAAAGCTTTGCCCCAAATGAATGGAATGCGCATTCCACTGAAATATTTTGCTTTCAAAATAATTTTTTCTCAATAATAAACAAAGCAAAATAATTCAAAAACATATACAATAAGTAGCTAGCCATCGAGTCCTGTTTAAAGCAAATTAGCTCCTATACCATAAATCGGTATTTCTCAACTTTAGCTACTTTAAGAAGTGTGGACTGCAACTCCCAGAATTCCCCAGCCAGCATTCTGGTTGAGGAATTCTGTGAGTCCACATCTCTTAAGGTTTCCAAGGTTGAGAAACATTGCTATAAAAAAATAACTTCAACGGCATGTTTTTTTTTCAGTAATAAATAACTTCTAACTAATTTGTGGCATTTTCTATGTGTTTTATTATCTTGTACCTCTTTCCAAAGAAGCAGTTTCATTGAATTAAATAAACATGTGAAGGATAGCAAGATTAATGATAATAATTGGAAAGAAATCCAAGGATTATGTTTCAATCATTTTTTAAATTATTTATTGGAATTTCAAAATCCATTGTAACAAACCATTTACCATGCAATTTGTTCTTAAATTACATCAGAGAAGATTGCCACTTCCAGCACTCTTTTGAATGAACATTCCAGGGTTGTCCTAGCAACCAGATGGTTCTACCCACAATTCCATCTTCACAAGAAGATTAAATCAAAACAAGGCTTTCTACATTAAAGAATAGCAGAAAGCATCTTTATTAATAAAAAGCAAGTATTCTCCCAATCCATTTTTCTTCATTTCCAAATGAAACAAACAATTATAAGCTCATGTAATTGTTAACATAATGGTGAAAATTAATTCCACAGATTCATTATTAAACTCTTCTGTGACTAACTATACCAAATAACAAGTGCTTACAATCTTAATATTCAGTACGTATTTCAGAAACAGATTGGAAAATATTGTGTTCATACTTCAATAAATTAAAATTTCAATTTTATTTTCAATATATTAATGCTCAGAATAAAATCTTCTGTCACTAGTGTAGCAGTTATCAAAGGCAAAAAAACTAAAGTATCATGTGTTCCAACTGTTCTTGCTTGCCTGCTGTTTTCATTGTTAGCTCTTTCCACTTTAAATAAACATGCTTTAAAAAATCATGACAACTGAACCCACCTACTAATTACAGATTGGGTACTTTCTCATTTTCACAAAATATTTATATAAGGTCAACTATAAACATGTAACAAAACACTTTTCTTAGCAGCCTGAGGATAACATCCAAATGAATTCCAAGTGTAGCTTTGCATACATCACACAAATATTTAGTTTCTTTTGGATGAGAGAACACTGGAGATTTATGATATCTATGCAATGTTTGTAGTATTTCTGTCTAAGCAGAATTTATCCAAAACTTATTCAAGTAAGAAAAGAGATCTGCAGCAGGCAGCAAGTATAAAGGACTACATTCTGTTTTTCCTAACTCTAGCTAAACCCCTAAATTCTTGTCAAAATTCAAATTACTAAATTCCTTTTCTCACACATCTGTCATGCAGAGCACTAATTTCATGCTACTTTACAAAAATCACCTAATATGTTCCTGTAATATGTTCCTGTAAATAAACACAATGCACATTCACTAAATGTCATTATCAGTATTTGTCATGTTTCCAACAACATGCCAAGTAATGCTTCAGTAAAAATCAATGTGATACATACATTCCAAAACCAAGACAACCAAATTTAGAGCCTAATCCCTATTTTTAAATTTGCTTAAACTGCCATACTGAGGACTGGTTTTAAAGATAATGTAATAGATTAAGGTATAGTGCCCTGGCTTGTCTAATATATATTAATATCTTATGTAATATCTTACGCTAAACCAGAAACAAAGTTTATTTCAAACCAATACTTTAAGTCTCAGACATTCATTTCCTTGCAAGATGAGAGCTATTATTGGGGGGGGAGGGAGAAAAGGATGCTAAAATCTTCCATACTTTTTTTGGGAGGGAATACCTTTGGATTAGTCATCACTTTTGGTTTTTGTGGCAAGTTTTTTTTAGAAGTGGTTTGACATTGCCTTCTTCCTAAGGTTGATAAAGAGTAGCTGGCACAGTTGGCTTTATGCCTAAAGCAGAGATTAGAACTCACAATCTATCAGTTTCTAGTCTGGGGCCTTAAACCACCACCTCAGAATGGGTCTCTAAAATTCCCTTTCTTATAACTAATTCTCTAAGAATACCTTTCCTATGGTAACCCCAATTCTGCCCCAATCCTTTCCAAGCCTTTTGACCAATGTTTGTTGCAAAACCAAACTTCCCTTCACTGCTCCAGCAATAAGGAGTATGGGTACTTTACCATAGGACATAAGTGCAAAGTGTAAAAGAAATAGTGGAAGATTTGCCCTATGAAACTTGCAAGACTGATGCCAGCCTTCTCAGGAAGAGACTTTCTCTTTTTCTCTTTTACAGCTTCAGAAGCTAAGGAGATTCCTTTCTGAGGCTCTTTTTCTGCCCATTATGCAGCTGAGGGCTATGTCCTCTCTTTCCCCATCTTTCCCCATCTATCCACCCAGTCTCAAGGTCATTCCTACATACTATTAAACATATAGTATATTCCCTTTCGGTTTGCTAGTATGAAGGTTGCAGGAGCAGGAGATGCTGCTCTGCAAGTGTATTGTTACATCAACAGCTACACACTGTGACAAGAACAAGTTACCCTTTTACAGCTTTCATGTTAGTCATCCCTGGAGTCTGGAGGCAAGCTAAGTATTTTCACCATGAACCTGAATATTTCCACTACAGTCTTAACCCCTATTACAAATGTTAATCAGCACTTACTTCTTCTAAATTATTAATTTAATTTTGCATCAGGATTGTGCAGCCAATCTGACTAATTAACTGGAGGTCAACTGTTTTAAAATCAGCAGTAATATGATTTTGCATAAGGAAATTTTAGTTTTCAGTATTATTTTACAGCCAAAGATCTGTATTTCTTCATCTTTTTCACACTCCATAGACTATCAGACAAAAACTTCAAATCTTTCCACTGGCACTGCAGATATTAAATTCTGGCATTATTTATTTTTCCCCTTTGAAATTACAGTACTTTTTGCAAATATGAGAAACAGCTGTTCCTTTCCTACAGCAATAGGAAGAATTGAAACCCAAACTGTCATATTTGAATCACTAAAGATAAGCATTTTAACATGCTAAAATGAGACTGTGGGGTTCATGATTCAGCAAAACTACTGTTTTAGCGTGTATATGACACCAAGACATGTTAAGTTTTTTCAAGCAGAGCAAGTTATGAGAAGATAGCAACTACAAGTAGTCCTCG